GACAAGGGCTTCCCTTGTCGACTACGGAGCGTCCAAACTACCACGTGTGCCACCAACAGCTGATCGGCACAGCGTGGCAGCCATTTTGATATAAATGAAGCGGCGATTATTTAAATCGCCGCTTCATTTTCCTATGTCTAGAAACCTAATCTACATGGCTCTGTTGACAGAGCCATGTAGTCTAGACATACCCTAATAGATGGGGGAAGCAGCAAGGATGGGCAGATGGCTCTGCAGAGCCGGCACGCGAGGAGAGCCGGCTTAAAAGCCAGCTCCCAACGCATATCAGCTCCCACCTCTCCTGCCACACGCTGCTGCCTCTGATGTGGGACAGGGCAGCTCCGCGTGAGCTGATATGCTCGGGGAGCTGGCTTGAAAGCCAGCTTCCCATGTGTACCAGCTCCCACTAGGGATGTGAAACGACTAGTCACTTGCTGCCTCTATCAGCCTTGGGGGCTATTGCTACAGTTCAAAGGTGGAAGCATCCTTATCAACTAATCAAACAGTCAATGCAAATTGCATCAACTATTTGATTAGCCAATTAATCAAAATTTTGCATCTCTAGCTCCCACCTGCTGCCCTCACCCTCCGTGCTGCTGCTTCTCTATCAGAGGCAGCAGCGTTGGAGGGGGAGCAGTCGGCTCCATGGATCCAAATGCTTATGGGGACCCGGATTAAAAGTCGGCTCCTCAGGCCACCGGTTCCTGCACAGAGGCAGCAAGAAGGGCGGGGATACACATAGTTGATAAGATTAACTGATAAGCCTAAAATTGTGGTTGCGTGTAGTTGATAAGTTTAAGGCTTATTGGTTAATTGTGTATTCGGCTACATGTTGACATCCCTACTGGAAGTCTCACTCTACTTTTCAGCCAAGACCTAACAAAGTGATGTAGTAAGTAAAGTGATATGTTGAGAGCTCATCTTACAAGGAAAGCTTTGCTTAGACAAGAGAACATTTACTCAGACAATATGAAGTGTCATTATCATTAAAAATGAACTGCCCATTCCTCAAGGTGAATGAGGCACATTCTACAATGGAATTAGCAAGTGAGCAGCCATGACAAAACAATCTGCAATGAATCTCCCACATGTGCACATGAATTAGCAAGGCTACGCTGGACTGCATGTTAAAAGAACAAGTTTTCTGCCTGCAACCAGACCTAATTTGCTACAAGACATCAGTTCTCATCCCCTAGAGACAGACACAGCTTACATTTTGGGCAATTACTGAAAAAACACTATTAAGGGCAGCTAATGGCTAGGATCTGAGTAATCCTAGTTTTCTATTTCTCTATTCAGTACCATGTAAAGAGGACTTTCAAAGTCATTGTCAGTAATATGACAACAGTCAATTAACAGTAAAGCTGGAAGGAAAATGAGCTTTGTAAAAATTTTCTGACTTAGCTGAATGTAGGTACAAATATTTTGTCGTGGTGCAGATAAAAAGGCTCTTTCATTCGCTTCTACTTTCAACTAATTCCTTACTGATCTATTTGTTTAATATCTTGATTGTTAATCTGCATTCCCAACAGGCAGCACACAAACGCTTGTTTATGAAACAAGGAGATTTTTTTGGTCTGGAAAAGCCTTAAGACAAACGATCTTTAAATGGAAACATTTCAAGTTTCCCACCCGCATATAAAATTATTTCTTCTGATGGACTTTTGCTCAGTCTGCTTCCTGTGGCACTGGACATACTTACCCCTGACAGGATCCCTTAAATCAGCAGCTATAATGAAACCAGGAAATCACACACAAAGTACACACTGGGTGGGACAAGAAACCATGTATCAACTGTATGCAGATGGAAATATGAGCACAGCAGCACAAGATAGGAATCTGGGAACATAAACATTTCATGAACTTTGGAGACCTGTTCCAAAGGGCCAGAACATGTTAAGGCCACATGCGTGAGAATAGGCCATGGCTTAGTCACCCAAACACATTTGTTTTATTAAACTAACAAGAAAGGATGTTATGGGCAGCAGTGAAAGCATGCTCCTTGCACACTGATAATAATTAAATACCCCCTTGCATGAAAAAATCCTGTTGTAAAGGGTAGGGATAGCATATACAGTAAAACTCCATTGGTCCGGCATCCAATGCTCCGGCACTCCTGATGGTCCGGCACCATTGGGAACCCGGAAGTGCGGTCAGCCGGACAATTGGAGCTGCTCTGCGCCCGGCTTCCCCGATTCAGCCGCTGCTAAAACTGATCAGCAGCTGAATCTAAAAGCTGCTGATTTTTTTAAATTTTAGTCAAAGGTTATAAAGCCAGAAGGAACTACTTTGATCAAGTACAGGCAGTCCCCGGGTTACATACAAGATAGGGACTGTAGGTTTGTTCTTAAGTTGAATTTGTATGTAAGTCGGAACTGGTACATATTGTACCCTAGGTGTCCCCGATTCAGCCACTGCTGAAACTGACCATTTGATTAGCCCTCCCCACCACAGACCCCTCATAGCCCCCCCCCTTCTGATAGTCTGGCATATTTGATAATCCGGCACCCCCTGGGTCCTAAAGATGCCGGATTATCGGAAGTTTACTGTAGTTGTTTATGCAATTAACCGATGAGCATGGGTTCACTGGTTAAACCTCATGACAACATGCACATGGTCCCCCCCCACTTTGCTGCCTCTGATACAGAGGCAACAAGGTTGTGGGGACACAGGAGCCGGTGCCCATGGAAAGCAGACTCCACTACATTATTTACGTGGATGGAGTTGTATGGCTTAAATCAACTTTCTGTTGTAGTGTTGA